CGTGGCTCGAACACCTGACCTCCCAGACAAATTTCACACTTTTCACCAGTTGGGCACTTCATCTCAATTAGTTATTTCTTTCACATATTATATTTATTGTATAATTATATAACACTTCTTCCTCCTCCTCGTTCTCCATATGCTGCCACCTCTAGCACTCTGCATCAACCAAGAAGGCATGTACCTCCAAAAAGTGAAGCTCAGCTTTGACGACCCCGTCAATGTCCTCTCCAACTGGAACCCACTTGATGTCGTGCCCTGCAACTGGTATGGAGTCACCTGCTCGCTTGATCTCTCCAGCTCCAACCTGTGTGGCCCCTTCCCTTATATTCTCTATCGGTTGAAGAACGTGACTTTTGTTTCTCTCTACGACAATTTCATCAACTCCACTCTTTTCGACATGGACATTGCCCTGTGTCAGTCATTAGAGCACCTAGATTTGGCGTAGAACTACTTAACCAGTGAACTCCCCGGTGCTCTAGCTAACCTCCCAAACTTAAAGTATCTGGATTTGGCCGGAAACAACTTTTTTCGATGAAATTTCGATAAGTTTTAGGAAGTTTCAGAATCTTGAGGTTCTTTCATTAGTGGAAAATTTGTTGGCGTGGACGATTCCCCCAATTGTGGGGAACATTTCCACCCTGAAACAATTGAGTATTTCGTACAACACGTTTTCACCAAGCCAGTGTGGATTTTGGGTTTGAGGTTGAGGTGGAGGTAGGGGCAGTGGTTGGTGTGGATTTTGGGTTTGAGGTGCGGGAGGGGGAGGGGGAGGGTTGAGAGGAAGATGATGATTTTGTGTGTGTGTTATTTATTTATTTAATGTTATAAATGAAAAATTACTCTTTTGCCCCTTTTAAAATATTTAAAATGTGGTCAAAGTCAAATTTTTGGTCAACTGACATAATTATGGATTGGAAATGTCCAAAGGATTTCACCCGCAACATTTGAAAATGTTAGGGGTAACGGCTGCAACAAATCAAATGTTTGAGAAAAGTCTGCTAATGTTTCAAATGTTTGAAGCTTTTGTTGCAATTATTCCTTTTTTTTTTTAAGTAAAAAAGTTATTCATTTTGAGAGTAATCTTATATTGCCCCTATTTGGTGAGGATTAAATCAAATTTTTAGTAGATTTTGATAAAATTGATGAAATGTGTGATTAAAATATTATAGGTACTTACGAAATGTGGTTAAAATTAATTGTTGATTTTGACTTAAATTAGAATCTAGATTTTAATTTCGACCAAACAAGGGCATTTTTGTCAAAATATATAACTTATTTTCAAACTTCGATGGATATAAAAATTTATTTATTTTAAAATTGACTTATTTACTTAAAAGTAAATCTTTTAAGCTTTGCTATTGTGAAATGAGAATTAGGCGGTTGAGTTTGATTCCGGTGTTTAATAGCA